CTATTTACCTATTTACCTATTTACCTATCGTGTTGGGAACAGTCCCTAAGCAAAGGCAAGACAAGAATTTGCGGGAGGGAAACGGAGCATACGATTCCAGGCGCCTGGCATCCTGCCTTCGAGGTCTTCCATGTTGCAAGGAGAAGGAGTTCCCGATGCCAGCCAGGTGGCCTGGATTGCCTCGACGTGACGCCCGGGCAAGCTGACACCCTGTTTCCCTGCTCCCCCTCACACAGGTGCCTGGGTGGGGTCACTCAGGCACAACCTGTTCGGCTGCAATCAGGCAGGTGGGGAGAACAACACGGTGTTCTTCCCGGGCTTCGTACTCACCTGGTCTCACCTGGCCCCACCCGATGCACAACCGGTGGCCCAGGCCTTCCCGCACCCCACCCCGCCCGCCTGCCCGCCACCGTCCTGGTCGGGTTCCCGAATCACCTTCCTCTTTCCTACCACTCGTGGGGCGTGACTCATCCGTGGCCAGGCAAGTGAGCGTTGTCCAACCCCGTGGCCCACTTGCCAAGCAAAACAAGGCCCATTTGCCCAGGTGTTCGTGCGCAGTAAACCCACCGAGACAAATTTTGGGCAGGTTGGAAATTCAGGCACCCTTTTACTTTGATCGCTCTTGGACCGAAGCAGCTCCTTGTGCAAGGCACACACGATTTACACGGGTCCAGAAATGTAAATGCAGCCTCAAAAATATAAATATTCGACATTTCGGCGTAGGTTCTGGAAGAGGGGGGAGAGCAAAGTGCCAGGGGTTCCTGAGTAGGTGCAGAGTGGTTTTTTTTTTTTGCAAATGAGAGACCTTTCTGAGCAAGTACAGCTTTTGCTCCCCCCTTGATGAAAATGTATTCCTGAGCAAATGCAGATGGCGAAAGAGATCCAAATCTCGAGCAGCGTGATTTGAATCAAAAAGGACGCTGAGCGGATGGAGAATTCAGCGGGCACAAAATGGATTTTGATCAGCCCCATAAGGAAAGCGTTCCTTGAGTAGGTACAAAGTGCCTTTGGGCAGAATGCATTCAGTGGAATGTGGCTAGATTAATTTGTAGATTAAGAACTTCGTATTTTGATAAGAAGAAATGCATTTATACAAAGCAGTTGTAGAATGTATTTCACTGGCAGATTCTCTCCGTATCAGAAACTGGGGTGTCCGTATTTCTTGGCAAACGTGGATGTTGGCCTGTATTTTTCTAGAAATTCACCCTAGGACAAGGGTGCACCCTCCAGGTTAAACAGCCCTGCCTTAAATCCTTAAAAAAAAAGTTATTGGTAAGTCTAACAGCCGGAAGACATGATAAAATATAACCAAAAATATGGCAGCGCTGATAAAGTCAGAAAAAAAAAATCAAATAATGCATAAACGAGTGTCATTTATAGAAATACACCCCCACTTTTATACCCATAAAACGTTAACATAGAGCGACCTCAATCTTTTCATCGATACAACGAGATTTATAGAATATGCTTAGTTTTTTTAAATATTCGATTATCTCAGGGCCTTACAGTATTAACTGTAGTTAATTTGAGAGGTCAGACCAAAAACAAGTGGATATTCGATCAACGTTAATGACAGTTTTTTAAGGTTGATGCTGTTGTTGTTGAAGGATATTTTAATCCATGCATTCATATTTATTTATTTTAATGAATACATATTCTGCTTTTACTGTAAGCCGCCCAGAGTCGCTCTGTTAGTGAGACGGGTGGGGACAAATTTGAAATGTAAATAAATATAAATAAATAATGTTACAAGCATTATAATTATCTGACTGGAGACCTTTCACTACTTTTCCAACTTTTTGCTTGCTGCCGTGACCATTTCCCATATTAATTTCCCATATGTCTTTTCTAATTCCTTGTGCGTAAAACCCACTAAGAATAATTCTGGCTTCATCGCGATGTTAATCTGTAAGGTCTTTTGCATCGTTGTATGGATTTGTACCCCATTTTTTGGGGGGGGTGAGGGCTGATGGTTCTGCAAATATTCATGTCTAACCCTGGTCTGGTTCAGGAATACCTCCAGGATAATCACATTTAAATCTTGGGCTGGCCGGCTGCCAATTCATTGAGTCATTGATTTGCGTTCCCCACCATCAGAAGAAATTCTTCGAAGTTCCCAGGCGTTGATCAAAATCCAATAAAAAAGAGAAAATTTACAACAAACTATGTTAGCCGCTCCGCACGCTCCAGGACAGTTTTCTCAAACTTGGCCACTCGAAGGCATGTGGACTTCAACTCCCAGAATTCCCCAGCCAGCTGGGGAATTCTGGGAGTTGAAGTCCACATGCCTTCGAGTGGCCAAGTTTGAGAAACACTGCCTAGGGGGGAGAACAAAGCAGATTGGCAACCTTTAGAAGAGATGCAAATTGAAAAGTAAAAATTGAATTCCGTGCCCAACAGAAGCAGGATAAAGCACACGGATGACATTTTCAGGGCCAGCTTGATCTTATATTTGCTAAAAGGCTTTGCTCCAAATTCCCCACCTTGCAGAAAAAGGCACCTTGACAGCTGTAAAGAAGGTTTCCCAGGCGGATGTTGCACCCCGGGCATGTGGAAGTTAGAGCCCTAAAAAGTTCCTAAAATTAGAAACCCAGAGTTGCTGACACAGGGCAGATTTTCTTCTCCAGGTGCCCACGCCCGCTGGGTGCCGGCTTTCTTCTCCAGAGGAAATAAGATTCGAGTTCTCGTTCTGAATGATTCAAACCTAGCAGATTTTCGAACCTACGTGAACAAGGCGGGAGCTGGGGGGGAGAGGAAAAAATCCAGAATTACCGCGGCCTTGTGCTTGCATCACCCCAAACCAGCTGGCCCATAGGGTCACTGGGTGATCCAGCGTGTCGTTACAAGCCCGGGAAACCGGATCCGCTGAACGAACCCTGGTTTTGCTCCCACGTGGTGCCAACACAATCTCAGCCGAGGACCGAACGAGGCTGGGGCAGGGGAGGGGGGCACGGAGCGACTTTGCGGCCCAGGGGAGGCCCCTTGCCGTCGCTGTCGACGGCGTCAGGCTC